GTGGGTAGTGAGACCTTCGAGGGGGGAGGGTACAGTTGTTCGACCGCAGGGGAGGGGGGAGAAGTAGTGGCGAAGGGTGAAGGGAATGTAGAAAATCATTCCTTCTTCTCCCCCAGGATCCGCCTATGCAAGCCTATAGCGCTGCACAGCAAAAACGCATAAAAATTCGCCAGTAGTAGCAGGAAAAGTGGTTTGCATAGACGGTATTTTGGCAATATGCGAACCACCTGTCTTGCTACTGGCGGATTCGGGACCGTGGAATGAGGGTATTGATGGCTACACTTTGAACAATGCTTGTGTGAACTGTGGTGCATTTGCACTAGGAACGCAGCTAACACTGAAGTGTCATTTGATTTGTAGCACGCCACATTTAGAATTATCAGTGTGAACTAGAGCGAAATTCCCTCTGCACACGTTGAAAGACTGCTGCGCGAAAACTGAAGTATATGAGGGGAGCACAACAGACTGCTGTTGGTGTTAATAACAACAAAGATAAGTGTGTTGGTCTGATGATGCTGCTGGTATCGGCGATGAAAATGCTGGCAGTAATGAGAGATGTAATGGTTGCGACCCACTGGCGACTCTGACCCTTACGCCTGCCGCGGTAGCGTTTGTTGGATAGACAAATATCTCTTTTCGTCGAATGACGGAAGTTTCATTCAATTCCCTTTATACCACAATTATTGTTACTACAACCGTCGCATTGATGAAATTGATTGTGGTACTACGTAGGAGTGCATACGACTTTATGAGTTGAAACGCTCCTGCTCGAATTTTGATTCTTTTATCATCTTCTCATATACCTCTTAATTTTAATTATCTATCCAACCTGCAGCATTTCATTCCCACTTAATATATATTTTCTAGTATGATAGGTTGTCAAAATGACACAAGGGCGTACACACAAATGCTCGCGCAAATGCGCATAAAAACACACAAACACACACACACACACACACACATGCACAAGACATTCGTTAAAGAACTGAGTTATTCAGAAATCCCATTTTCTGTTTCTGGATAAACTACACCATGTATATATTCCTTGAAAAATCACTGCTCCGAGCTCATTTCTTGGCTTACCAGCGTTCATAAAAGTATAAATTGCTTTGCTAGATAGAAGACAGAAGGAGATAAAGAAAGTTTCTTCCCGCTGCTTGTTTCACATTTTCAAAAAGTAAGCAATGTTTTTGCATTCTTGCTTCCTGTATTTTGCAATCGCTGAGAGACTTCTGACATTTAACTACGAGTAATATATGGAAAATTACTCTTTAACAAGCAATTTGAACAATCAGTCAGAGCGTCATGCTATAAGAATTACCACAGATGTAGTATTCCAAAATAATTGGCCAGCGCACCGACTGCCGATGCGAAAATGCGTTATTTGCACGGCCACCGCAAGTTTTCGTCGCTAACGGCACTGTTTTTTTCTGGCAGGTGCATCTAGCTAAATGAATTTAGACTGGCCACCACGGCTGTGAGAAAACATTCCCTGAAAATTTCAACTTTCTAGCTTTTCTGGTTCCCGAGTTGGCAACTTACCTTAAACCCAGCTCCCAGGCGTGCGTGGTTTCCGCGCACGGGTTCAAAAAATTTTCAGGGACCCGTACGTGGTAACCACGCACACCTGAGACTAGGTTTGAAATCACTGAGTCCTAAGTGGACGGAGAACATCCCATTAAAATTCTAGCTTTCTAGCTTTTGTAGGTTCTCTACTCAGCAACTTGCCCGCAAAAAATTTTTGCGGACTATATGTGGGAAACACGTGTACCTGGGGGCTGGATTTGAGCTTGCTAAGTCCTTCGTGGACAGGGGACATCCCTTTAAAATTCCAGCTTTCTAGCTTTTCAGATTTCCGACTTAGCAACTTATCCGCAAAAAATTTCCACGGGCCAGTATGTGGAAACCACGCGCGCAATATTGCACATTTTGGGAAAATTGGCCCGTACATGCATGCAGATTAAGTTCCCAAGGTTTCAGACTTTAGTTCTTGTAGGTCTCGAAATGAAAAATCGGTACAAACGCACATACAGACACGCATAAACAACCCCTCGACAGTATGCGCTTTTGCATTGCACAGATGCAAAAAATGCCTATGTATTTTGCATATGTAAAAGAAAAAAAAGACAAAATGTTTATGCAGAAGAGAAACCTAGGCTGGAGCGCACCAGGCGAGACGATGCAATCATGCGTTTTCGCACCAAACCTGGAACAATTAGGTCCACCTTCTGCGTTCAACTGCAGATAGTCAAAAATGAGGGACAATTTGCTTTTAAGCAACTTTTGCTAGAATGACTGCTGTATTTTCATGAATACCTTGATAATCAAAATATGCTATTTATAATCCTGTAAGTCTCAAACACAACCTTTCTTTCAGATCATTAGAATGAGCCTGATTATCGTTAAATTCAGCGTGTGGATAGTGAAATTGGGCCCTTAAGTTATCTAGAGTGAATTTTTTGAAAAATAATTCTCAGACTTTCCTGCTTGGGTTCGCAAGGGCAATTTTATTTAAAATAGGGGGGAAATCAGTTCAAAGCTCGTTCCTTCACTAGCCAAAATTCCGTAACCAGTTTTTTGAAGTCTGGAGGGTCGTGCTTATATGCTTGATAACTGAGCGTTACCGAATTTTACACTCTTAATTAGCAGTGAATTGTCAAACTGATAAATGTTTATCACAGCTGATCGCTGATTAAACGTCCCACCACATCAGTCGAGACGTTACTTCCTGCAAAATTTGATATTAGCAAAATGTTTGGTGGAGACGACGTAAGGTAAAGTAGCTAACAGATATAGAAAGAAAGCTTAAAACCTGCTCTGCACTAGAAATAGATGGGAGATGAGAATGATTTATCACCAGGCAATTTTAACACTAAAAGCACATTCTAACACTTTTATTGGGCGATTCATTTAAATTACTACGTTTTATAAATTAAAAGCCTTCAACAACAAATCAAGCGCCCAGTTAATATAAGTAGGCATTCAGTTTTTGAGGATAAGTAGGCACTCATCAAACGAACAAACCGGCACCCGTTTCTTATTTGTCTTATACGAATACATGTTTATGTATGAAGAAATTGGAACATCCAGCGGGTGAAATGTTAATCGAATATCAGTCTGATGTGAAAAGCAGTTGCTGCTGTTTGAAGCCCTTACTGATAATCGTGTTATGTTTCTTTTTCCTTACATTTGACAAGAAGCTTTACGCATAGAGAACAGTACAATGGATTAATAGCGCTCTGATGCATCAGCGGACTGCAGAAATTTACTGTGTAAAAAAATGATTATGGTTCTAGCGGATCCAAGTCCACAATGAAATTTCGGGTAATGAATTGAGCAGGGCATTAGGAATAAATAATTCTGAGATTGTTTTTTTTTTTTTACGCATATGAACCTGAAGAGGGTAAATAGAAGGATGGCGGCCACGAGGGGGTAGAAAGACGGAAGGGGCAACCTGCACTTATGGACAAAGATATTCTTAAAAAAATTAGGTCAGTTCGCGCAGCATCCCACACTTCATTTCTACAGACCTTATCCAGCACAAAGACAAACAAACACATACAGACACGCGTACACGTACGTACATCTCTCTTCCAGATCACCCCTCTCCTTTACCTCTCCGCTTCTGCTCCTGTCAGCTCCCATATTTCTGCGGCATATCCTGGGTTCAGAAAATGAATGGTACAGTTCAGACTTCGCTCTGTTTTCTGTATTTTTTGTTTTGTACTTTATTTTCACGCTCTTTTTACTTTTACTTATAGGTACGCATGCATGCTTGATTATACACGTGTGTGTGTGTGACCAAATAGTTCAGCGAAAAACTGAATTTAGTAACAACGCAAATTAAGCAACCGAATTAGAAACAGCGCCTAAGAAAAATATGTAAAATCAAAAAATCAGCCTTCAGACATCTGTATTTTGCAGCCGCTCGCCCCAGATATATGCAACAACCATGCAAGCTAAGAACTGTCTGGTGGATTTTTGATAGAGGGTTTGCAGTCGCACAGTTATGTACAGACACAAAATTGTACTTGTCAACATGCACATGCCAAGTCGTAGAGAAATTGGAAATCCAGTCCAATTTATAACTGACGTTTCAGTTTTATGCCGGAATAAGCTTTTTGTTTTCTGGCTTACAATCTCAGACTTAAACTCTGCACTGTTAGAATGCGAAACCAGCGTGTCAAAATCCGAAATTTTGCTGATTTTGATTGTCAAATTTGTCGGGAGAATTCAGTGCTGTGGTATCAACAGTGTTGACGTGCATAGTGCAGTGCGAAGTAGCACCGTTACCTTGCAGTAGGTCGAGTATTCTGGTCCGCAGATGGGGGGAATTGGTTCTTCTATAGTTCATTCATTTCTACGATAAATTGGTACTAGCATGTGTCGGAGAGTCAAACCCACTATCAGCTTACCTGTGAACAACCTTCGAAAAGGGCAGCAATCGGCAGCTTTTCCAGCGCTTTGTTGTTATTAGCGCTTGCTATCACTCTGGATACTTTCTGAGTGTTACGGCCTCTCATAAAGTACAGATACGGAAGAGGGCTCCGACTTTTTAAATAATTCTTAAAAAAGCCAAAAATGCTTTTTTTTTTTCGCGTCAGAGACGTTTCTTTAGAGGAATTTGTGACTGTGTCACTGTGTGCATGAAGTTACTTTTGGAATTCTAGAAAAAGTTTAATGTATTTCTTTTTGATCAACTGTAGTGAGTTGGCTGTTTTATCGGGCACGTGGAATTGTGTTTGTCCGCAAGCAGTTCTTGATACATGCGATTTTTTGTAAAATTTTATTTCTTCTGTGTTGTTTCAGTGTTCCAGATTAAATTTTGATCTTGTCAAAAAATGAGAATTGTGGTTATTGGCGCTGCTCCGACTGGCCTTGGCGTCGCTTATCGGCTTCATGAGCTGCAAAGAAGTAACAATGAGCACGCTCAGCATGTGGAACTCATCATCCTCGAGCAGGTTCAGTTCATTCTCTTGCTTCATCTGTTAAGTATACAGGTATCAAATACGGTTGTAGATTTGATTCACAGCTGCACCAAATGCGCTGCTGCATTCTGAAATGATTCTGGACTGCTGGACTCTCTTCAGCAGATTTCGCATGAATTCGCGCCAGGCTGTGCAAAAAATAAGGCAGCACAAGCCTGATAAGAGAATAAGAAAGATATAGAGTACCACTGCATAAGCACCAACGGCTTTTTGTGGCACTTTTAATACTCAAAATTATTTGCCGATTAAGTTAAAGGAACTAAAAAACATCAACAAATTCATACAATAGCTCATTACAATGACAGGTCCAGGAATTTCTTGAGAAACTGAAAGCATTTTTGATGTTAGCAGCGAGTGCATCCAGGACAGCACTTTTTTTATGCGTTTTTGCTGTGCAGCGCTACAGCGCTGCTACAGCCAGCAAAAACGCATATTGTCGAGATGCTGTGTGTGTGTGTTCGAAAAGCGAGTGCATTTTGTCACCCACTTTCAACTCGGCAACCAGGAAAGCTGGGGGGCTGAAAGTTCGGATATATGTTCCTACCCCTCCCGTTTTAAGATCCTCCCCCATACGCGCCTAAACCCCGCGCACGAGACCCCCAAAGGAATTTCTTGGCTTTCAACTCGACAACCAGGAAAGCTGGGGGGGGGGGCTGAAACTTCGGATATATGTTCCTACCCCGTGTGTCATCCTTCCCGTTTTATGATCTTCCCCCATACGCGCCTAAACCCCGCGCACGAGACCCCCAAAGGAATTTGTTGACGGGAAACGATTTCGCGAACTAGCAACGTAGAAGGCTGAAACTTTGTAAAGATATTCTCTATGCACGTACGAGACAAAGGTTTTAAACTTAGCCCTCTAGCTCCCCAGTCACAGCCTCAAGCAGCTCCTGAACCCAAAAATCGTTAGCAACTCGGACTTGAACCGCAATTGTATATGCGAATGAACGCGATTTTTTGAAAAACGACCGTTCAGGCAATACTTTCAATTTTTCAATGAACTAAAAATTTGCATATCAAAAATTCGTTCTCAGCTCGGACCTTAACCGCAATATGAACGCGGC